GGATAAACGGCGTCCTTAGTTCATTCTACTGTTCTTTGCTAATTTTGCAGTCACTATTTGGTTTTATATTTTTTTGTCTTTTGCATACAGTTGTTGATCGTTATTACCACATCGTTAGAAATGTATTTTCCTTTTCCATTGATCTCACCAACAGTCATAGTCAAATCTTTTGCTAATAATATCATTCAAACAGTTTATCCATGTTTTCTTTGATTCCTCTTTTAATATACATCAATGTCATAATCAATACCATTTTAAACATCGGTTCAATAGATATGCCCATTAATATTTCATACTCTAAAAATTTCAAAATGTTATTGAATAGTTTTACTTGTTTCAGTTTTCTATTGATTTTGTTTTGGAAATATATAATTGTTTCGATACTAAAAACGTTGCCAAAGTCCGCGGTGCTTTCCGACCGACGGGCGGGTGATTCCATTATGTGTAACCACCTAAATCAACAATGCTCCGTACATTTAGCGCAGCTCACAGAAATCGAGCCACCGCTCCATTCCCCATGCAGATTGGAAAAGTTTTCAAATAACCAATTAAATTATAACCGCCGATACTTCGCTTGTCTCGAGAATACAATGTTTAAAATTCATCAGCCACCTAATTTACATGTTTATTTCTTCTACTTTGTTAACTGGAGATTCTCAGATATCTGGTGGCAACGGGGAAATGTACATTTATTCTTTCGTTGGGGACTGATTTGTTACTTAATGCTCGTGTACCAGCTACAATATCGTTTGAACATTACGTATTTTTGAACAGTTTGCTTTGTTTGTGTCTCGTGTAATTTCAATCTAACAATTGAAATTTTATCCGCCTCTTATTAATCGATTGATCTGAAATTTAATACATACATTGAATTCTGATAACAATATGATTATATATACAGTATCATTGCATTTTTTAGTTTTTAGTCCATTATTTATATCATTATTATGTTTTTCTACAATAAAACCATTTGATTTGAAAAGATCCTTATTTTTTAGCTACTTTCAAAAAGTTCTTCCTTTGTCTGAATTTGTTGTGGTTATGTTACCAGTAACGGTTGACGGTTTTTTTTTGCTCTCGTTTTGTGCATTTCCGTTTATTTTTTATTATTTCAGCGTTAACTGTCCACTGCTGAATATTGACCTCCCCCTATTGCAGAATTTTGCCAGTAATTGCCACGTTTGACAAGCGAGTTGGCAACCGCAGTTAGTGTTTGTTACCGTTTTAAGAGGAACGCTGCTGACCACCTCAAGATCATTAAGCTTATCCGCAGTTATGCTTTGGAGATTTTTAAAAAGAGAAACTGCTGCCCATCCCTCGACTTAAGTTCCATTAGTCGCCTCTTACGACACCCAGGAAAAGATGGCCCATTCTATGCCGGAATCACACGGCGTCTATGTCTGTTTTTTATTTGTGCGCTGTAAGTGATGGAAATAAATTATCTATCTATTTATTTATACCAACTTAAAAGCTAAACGCGTCGTGCTAATATGGAGTGTTCAAAAATTTTTATATTGTTTTCGACCCATTTTTTTTTTTACTGAAAATGTTCATTTTCTTTGCTAGTACACTTCGATAAAAAGATACAATTTTTTTTTATTTATATATTTTGTGATACATAGGTAACATTGGATGGTAAAACAAGATAAGTCTTCTGTGATCAACCCCATCTATCGAGGTATACAAATTCGCAATTATATAACAAAAATCAACAATGTCACATTTACAGTAAAAAAATTAAAACTATACTAACCATTTCAAATGTATGCAGTATATATTCAAAGGGTTTTCAAGCGAAGAAAGATTACAGACGAATTGAGAGGCTCCTCCCTCCGGAAGTCACTTAAAAAGTTACAAGAGTCACCCGATATTGTAGTAAATCAGGACGCTTACCAAAAGCGACATTTTTATAATGCGACGCTTAAACCCTACCAAACGTAGACAGGAGTGGGCGAAGGGCGGCGAGAGTCGGCAGATTTATGAGCGGATATTTCATCTGCGGCCAGCGGCGATAGCGTGATGTGACCCCCGGCCCCCCGTGACCCCCACTCTAACCACCCCAAAGCTTGGACGTTTAAAAAAGTGGTTAAGCGTCCTTAAAACAGCGATGTTTTAATGTCTATGCATGAAGTGAAACACAAACTTCGTGACGGGCCTCCCATAGAACAGTAGTTCAAATTGTAAGACTTAGGTAGCACGGTGACGTCTGTGACTATAATAAGACGTCATTTTTTAGTCATTTTAAGGCCATGACCCAAATGACGTCTTTTTTGAGCCGGTGTAGTTATAAATCCGTAGCTGTTTTTTTTTTTATTTTAAATAATATATCACTTACAGATTACTTACACCTTATACTTACAGATTCGACTCATAGAAATTCTAACAAAATCGGTTCAGTTGGTTTTAAATCAAAATATCTGGTTTTGTCACAATTGAAGTAGTTTTTTTATTTATTTCATTTAATCTATACTTATAATAAATCTGTAGAGAGGTCAATTCTGTACATGAAATAGTATACTTCCAAAATAACTATCACGGGGTGATAAGTGATCGATACTAATGCCAAAAATGCAATCAGCAAAATTTTTATCTGTCTGTCTGTTTGTTCGTTATAGAAATAAAAACTACTAGCCGGTTTTTAACGAAACTTGGTACAATTATTCTTCATACTCCTGGGCAGGTTATAGTATACTTTTCATCACGCTACGATCAATAGGAGCAGCGAAGTGAAGGGAAATGTTGAAAATGTCCACCCGTGCGACGCCGGGACGGGCCACTAGTAAATAAATAAAGTTAACTGCATTTACTTCGATATTTCGGTAAGTGGTCGTCATAAAAAATAACATTTTACGCTAACTACCTCATACGACCACATGGAAAACCTGTCCTCGATTCGCGAAAGTGGGTCATCTGCATGTTATGGTAAAATCCATTTTTCCTCTACAGGCTCGCGTAAAAAAAAAACTAGATTGAAATTCTCTCAACGTTCACTGCTATTAGATTTCCTATTTAGACGTAGTGTTGATACAATCTAGGTATACAGTTTGCCATGTGATCCCGGCATAGAATGGAACACCCCTTCCTTTCAAGGGTGTTGTAAGCGACGATTAAGGGAGCTTATGGTGGAAGGATGAGCAGCAGCGTCTCTCTTAAAACATGACCGTAAAGCGTTTGTGTTTACATGGCTGTGTTTTGGTTAGAAGAGTGGGATATGGCAGTGAATTTCAGAGTACAGAGGAATAACACCTAAGTCCTTAGGAATGGCAACGCATGGGGGGTATCATTGGCGAAACATATACTCTGTTATGTCGATGGTACTGCTCATGTCTATAGGTGTGACTCATGTCTATGTCTTTTTTTTATACAGTTTTTAGATAGTTTCATATATATATATATATATATATATTTACTACTATTGTAAATATTACAAAACAGACTTCTGTAAATACCTTATTATTTGTAGTATTCCCCGAGTAGAGGCAGGTACCCAATCAACGATGATATTAATGTTTCACACAGCCTCGTTTAGGGATGTTCACTCCGGTGCCCTCAGTAATTATGTCGCTCTATCGATTTCGCATTTGTTTATCTCAGGTCTTGTGTTAACATAATCCGTTTCCGTATAATCTGCCAGGATGACTCTTGACTTAAAGTATATCTGTTACAATATTTCTGGTCGTATAAAGTAATTTGTACTCCTAAAAACACCATTGAGAGCAACAGTATCAAAAGTAATGTTAAATTAAAATAAGAATAAACTAAATGATATAATAAAAACAATGTTGCATTGTTTTTTATTATGGGGACCATATTATCGCCAAACTGTATTCGTTTTGTAGAGTCGCGGAAGTCGCCAAAAATATAATGTTTCATTAAAAAGTCACAACTCAAAAAGTGATATGGTATTGTATAAACTAGGCATGGATAATTTGGATACCGATTTGATATCTATATACTGGGTTCCTCTAGACACTGATAGCGGAAAAAGGTAATCACCCATATCGATCGAATATCTATTTTTGAATATGTTATCCAATATTATGTTTTGTATAACATACGTTTAACATATTCGTTATTGGGCAAATATATAAATATTGTTACTAAGATATATAGATATTACCATATATTACCCACCCCTAGTATAAACATAATATTCGGAAAATTGCGTATCCCGTTAATAACCCTTTTCGTCTAAAATATAAATTATGTTCGATAAATAACAAACAAACAGCAATAATATTAGATTGACACATATAGTTATTTTGAAATGAAGCCGTATTATGAATTGTAATAGAGTTCATATCACAGATTACTCTAATTTGAAACTTCTCTCGCGTACACCTCGGGGGAGTGGTGTGGGCGAAACAAAACTAATTTTTGAAGTTCACTACCGCTCTGTAATCTATCCACTTCCTAAGGTTTGTGTTGAATACGTATTTTGTAATCGCATCTCGTAAACTTTATTCATTTAGGTCGATACAATGTCATAAACATTAAATTTATATTAAAAAAAGTTTCATACCGAAATAGTCCAACGAAACCTTTCATCATCATCATCATCATATCAGCCTTTAACTGTCCACTGCTGAACATAAGCCTCTCCCTTGGGTTTGCCAGTAGTTGCTACACTTGGCAGGCAGATTAGCAACCGCAGTCAGGCTTTAGAGATGTTTTAAGAGGCACGCTGCTGCCCATCCCTCGCCCTACCTTAGTCGGCGTTCGACTAAAAGCCTAACTGCGGTTACCGACTCACATGCCAAGTACGCTTTTAAAAACAATTTAAAAATATTTTAAGTGGAACGCTGCTACCTGTCCCTGTACCATTAAGTTCCTTTAGTCGTCTCTTCGACACCCACAGGAAAGTAAGGGGTGGCCTATTCTATGCCTTACGGACATGTAAATAAGGTTTACACCATTTCTAACGACTTAATACACAACAGTAAGCGCTAAAATAGCCTTTGACAAAAACTTGCCTATAACGGACCATGTCGTTGTTACAGAGTTTGGAAGAAAGAGAAAAACGACATTCGAGCCACAAAGAGCAATTAGCGAGAGAGCAGCGATTCCTCCGGCGGCGGTTGGCTCAGCTCAGAGCGTCCCCACGGGACATCACCTCGCGAAGCCTCTCAGAGAGTTCGATGACGCACGCGCACGCCACGCGAGCGGACTCGCTATCATCACTCGAGTCATCATCGGGCGTATCCACCGCTGAGCGATCACCTTCATCCGTCTCCGAAAGCGGTAAATACATTAGATCAAGCCTCACTATTTTAATACCGGTAAAATAAACCGTTCAGGTACTTTACCATAAAAGATACCGGTAAGCAAATACGATCTCTCCACGTTGCTGCTTCGCATTCGTATTATACTAGAAAGGTACCTATTTGAAAATACCTGTATATTCATGCAGAGCGAAGATCAATAGAACTGATTTCTAAAAATATTGATATTCCAAGTCCTGCCCATTCGTGTTTTAACCGTAAAGTAGTTGTGTTTGCATGGCTGTGTTTCGTTTTGAAGAGTGGGATATGGTGTGAATTTACAGGGTACAGAGAAAGAACATCTGAGTCCTCAGGAATGGCAACGCATAGGGGTATCATGGGCGAAACAGTATACTCTGTTATGTCCATGGTACTGCTCATGTCTATAGGCGACAGTTACCACTATCCATCAGGTGGGCCGTCAGCTTATTTGCCATTCTAAGTTGTTAAGATGAAAGCAGATTAGTTGACCAATCGTAACGAATTCATTAAAAAATTAACCATGATAGTTTTCAGGGGGAACCCCGTGAAGGTCGACATGTTGGGGATATTGTTAGCAATGGGACCGTTAGATCCCATTACCAACAATTCCTTTCCCCCCTTCTAGTTACATTATTCTCTAGCTTGAACATGTCAAAACAATAATTGTAATAGACATTCTTGATTCGGACATAACACGAAAAGACGAAGCCTCGGAAAAACAGCGGCATTGTGAGAGGCTTACGCAGGGGCTGAAATAGGCCCACCCGCCTATATTGTTACCTTTTATTTATGCATTAACTTTTGCAATTTAACTGTCAGAGGCACACTTATTCCGGGGATTCGCGGACGCACATAAATTCCTGATCCATTGTCGGCCGCCCTGCGAACTTACTTTCCTCTAGGCTTGGAATATTTCACTGTCTCAAGTGAAATATCATATGCTATGCAAAATCATATGTTACTCCAGCTTTGTTGCTTCATATAGACTGTTACAAATCGCACTAAATGAAATCGCAGATAATCGCTGCGTTCGGATTTATTCGACTGCGCTCGTTTAGCAGTGAAATTAAATGTGTGAAATCTCAGCAAACGACCGACTGGACCGTACAGATAAATAGAGTTTTTTCACACTGCACTATTCGCTAGTTCGTTTGCTTCTTATCGTATAAATCATACTTGATATTTCACAATCTTTTGCAAAATAGTAGCAATTGTGACATTAAATCACTGCGACCGAAAATCACTTATATCATTTGACATTGACGTTATCACAGTGATAATAAAAATAATAATTTCACTAAATGATAATGAATTAAATGTAGCAATAATTTCCATGCCTACTTTCCTCATCGCCGAGTTATTTCATTGTATTCTCCGTTCCTATAGGATTGATATGGTAAACAAGCGGGTTTTATTGACCGTATAAATAGTTGTGGGAGGCGATTAACTGTCTCATTAAGCCGGCTTATACCGCATTAGGCCTTATAATTTGCGTCGACGCCGTATTTATGATGACCTATCGGGAGGCTTGTGCTCGGGCCGTTTGCATGCAGATTCGGATGTCGTAAAAATAAATATTTGCATCTCTATCGAATGTTTAGGGTAAATAGGTCGCTTTCTGTCTATAAACGGCGGTGTGTACTTCGTATTGATTCGTCGTGTGAAGATTTTAGAATGTGTTTTTGTTTTGATAAATACAATATTGTTATTTTTTTTCTTAATGAAATGGAAATGGAATTGTAACCCTGCTCGCGCTGGATATCGATAGTATCCACTGGCAGGCCACCAATGAATGATGATAGATGAGGATAAAGGCGGGTCAGTCAGCCCTTTGAGTTTCATCATTGTGTTCTCTTTTATTTGATATTTATATGTTGTATTTAACATATGTATGTTTTAGTGCAATAAAGAATATATATTTATTACATCAGCCTTTAAGTATCCACTACCGAACATTGGCATAACATTTTTTTTTTTTTAATTTGATCAGAAATAATTGAAAATTGTTGAATTGTTTTTGAAAATTGTCATACAATTCCGACGTTGGTGCAGTTTCGGTAACTTAGTTATTATACCACAGGGAAAAAGAGGCGAGTTTTCCCAGAACAATATACGATCGTGACACGACGGTTTCTTTAACTCGCTTCTTAACTGTACAGAACATTTTTTTGTGTACACTTCAGTATTCTATATGAGTTGTACAATTTGTATATAGTGATGTGCCGAGTCAGGCGGACTCGTGTAATAAATCGAATACTTTTAGATACTCAGGTATTCGAATACTCAATATACAGAATTCGGATATGTGATGTTCGATAACAGCTTTCGAATACTCGCTGTAACAACTGTACTCGAATACGAATCGTGTATCTTATTACGAATAATAAGTATAAAGATATAAAATTGTAACTTAACGATGTCTGTACATGAATTATACTGTACTCTCATTATCATAATATATATATATATATATATATATATATATATATATATATATATATATATATATATATATTTTTATATATATATATATATATATTTTTATATTTTTTTTAATTCAATTCACTCAATCGTATTTTCTGATATTGCTCACAACTTAGGTTACATGTTTGTTTTTATTATTTACTTCATTTTCTCGCACTGTATAACTATGTTACAACAAATGCTGTGAATACCTATAATAGGCATGTGCATTGATGTTGTACTGTATCTAATGTTTGTTACACCTATATGTTATAATACAATATGCTGTTGGTGTTCCTTAAATAAATAAAGATATTTTAGAAAATATAAGGACAATAGAAGTTAATACGTTAATTTTTAGAAATTTTGTCTGTTGTTATGTTACAGTTATGTTTCTGAAGGTTTTATTTAAAAACTGATATTTTATCTTGATACATCATCCAGAAATGATTATTGGATTTTCCTACTTCTGAAATCCGTGCGTAAGAAACAGCGGACAAATAACTAGTTTATTGTAAGATCTTGTTTTTTTCTCATAATTTTATTAATATGATACTTATTTTAAAAAAATGCTCAATTATTGAATATTTACTATGTTTATTAAAAGTAGACTTTAGAAATAAATTGAAAAAGTATTCGAATCAGGACTCGATACTTTTTTTAACGAGTATTAATTAATCGAATATTTTATATATTCTTTATTGAACTTGTAAGTTTCATATAAAATAATGTATTTATAAATGTTGTGAGCAAGGGTGGACTTATCTCTGACAGAGATCTCTTCCAGTTAACCCAGTACAGTAAGAAAGCATTTCGTTAGCGGGCAACTGAAGTGCTACAACTATTAATACATAAACAAATATACAGTTAAATAATATTATAATATACATATATATATTACATAAATACATACACTATAAATACATATAATACCTACCTACTTAGTACTCGTTAAAAAAAATTATCGAGTCCTAAAACACTCGACTAATATAAAAGGCCAAATCGACACATCACTATGCACATAACCGGCTAATGAATACGGTTAGCGTGCACGCAGCGTGCACGCCACGTTCCCGCCGCGTTCCTGCCACGTCCTCGCCGGCAATCGCATTACAGTAATCTAGTGAGCGTAGTGACGTGAGAAGACCGCGCGGCGCCCGCATGCGACGTTTATATAATAAATATCATACATGATCATTATTGCCACGTTATATATTAATTGTTATGTGATTCAGGCATAGAATGGGCCACCCCTTCCTTTCCCGTGGGTGTCGTAAAAGACGACTAAGGGACGGCGAGGGATGGGCAGCAGCGTTCCTCTTAAAACATCTCCAAAGCCTAACTGAGGTTGCCAATCTGCCTGCCAAGCGTGGCAATTACTAGCAAAACCCCCTAAAAGGGAGGCTTATGTTCAGCAGTGGACGGTCAAGAGCTGATATGAGAGATAAATAAATAGATATTTACAATTTCATTTTAAATCTGTGCACAGCCATTTATTCTCTCTGTTTAATGTAACGGTTGACTGGTAGAGAATGCCATCAGGCATTAAGTCCGCCCTGTAGACATATTTTAATACGTGTAAAAATATAAATAAATAAATCTAATTTATAAAATTTTCCTGTCGCGGTGTTTGTTACCAAACTCCTCCGAAACGGCTTTACTGATTTTTATGAAATTTTGTGTGCATATTGGGTAGGTCTGAGAATCGGCCAACATCTATTTTTCATACACCTCAATGATAAAGGTGACCCACCCCTAAATATTTCTTTGACAATTTTTTTTATTTTTAATTTATTATGATTTAACATTGAAAAATACATACAAATTCTAATTTTCACGCTTTTACGATCAACCCCTGTTTTTTAATCGCGATATTTATATGCCGCAATAGGATTGCAAAATTGCAAAAATTGAATATAATAATTGTAGTACGATAAATTTTCATGTATAGTTCTCGAAATAATGTATATGGTAAAACAACGTTTGCAGAGTCAGCTAGTATTGATATATGTATATTACTCACTCTTAAAACGATGTTAATGATTTCGATACCACCCTGTATATAAAACGTTAAGAGGATTATACATATGCTCGTATATACATATTTGTTTGCATATCGGCGGTAGGGTATGTTTGTTTGTGCTCGCCGGAGTAGAGCTGCAGAGGCAAAGCTCAGCCAAGTGGCCACAGATGTAGTGTTGAACTGAATAAGCTTATGGGCCAGGGCATAAAAATGATCGATGCTTGATCACTTAATAAATTTATTGTTAATTAACATAGTGATTTTTACTGTGAAAATATCAAAGCTGTGATTTTAAAATGTAAGTGATTTTTGTTCAACAATTACTTAAAATTTCAGCAAAATCGTTTAGGACGGACTCCTTCTAATTCAGATTACAAAATTAGAGATGAACAAACTAACATACTTTGCAAGTTTTAGCTTATAAAAATAGAAACTATTTACAGCTAATATATGTTTTTTTTTCATGTCAAAACAAGATCCGTTCTAGTATGGTGTGTAGGTGACTTTATCTG